TCACGGGGCTCCCCGCACTGCGCCGCGCGCAGCAGCTCAGCGTAGTAGAGCTCGCGGCCGGAGCGCCGGGGCGAGCGGCAGTCCTCGGGGGCGCCCCAGCCCTCGGCGTCCTCGTCCTGGCCCCCGTGCCCGAAATACCGGCGGATGTCCCCGCTGATGAGCTCCGAAAACCTGAGGAGTCGCAGTGTGGTCTCCGCGGCGCTGGCGCTCGCCAGCTCCTGCCCGCTGCAGTCTGCGCCCTCCACCACCTCCTCTTCTTCCTCTTCCTCCTCTTCCTCATCGTCATCCTCCTCGGAGAGCTCGGGGAAGTCGGGCTCAGGGCGCGTGGGCAGCAGCAGGGCGTGCGGGAAGGGCGAGGGCAGCCGCAGCTCTGCCAGGGCCGGTGGCCATGGCGGGGTCCCGACTTGCCCTGTGGGACAGCGCGGTGAGGGCTGCCAGCACCCACAGTGGCCATGGCACGTGCTGGGTGGCCACACCGGTGCCAGGACAGGTCTGGGCGAGTGCCAGTCCCCTGGCAGGGGCAGTTCTCTGTAACCTCGCACCGGCCCAGCCTGGCAGCGCCCCGAGAAAAAGGATGTCCAAGGAGACGCCCCCGCGGTGCCACCCCAGGATGAGCCTGGAGACGGGACACCCAGCACCCCTGTGATGCCACATGGCTTGAGGGCAGCAGGGACATCATGTGAGGCTCTGTGCCATGGGCGCGCGGGACCTTCCCCTGAGCCGGAGCTCACGGGGCTGCCGGGACATCCCCGGCGAGGCACAGGCTGTGGCACAGCGGGGATGTCACCCACAGCTGTGGGGCAGCAGGACGCTCCCATCCGCTCTGGACCTTATGGAGGGGTGACCAGGACCTCCCAGCCATTTCAGCCCAGGGTCCGGAGCCTCTCACCCTGCCCAGGCAACGGCCCCGAGGGGGTCCCTGTAACAGGGCGAATCCTGCCCCCTCCCTGCCCCACTCTCGCAGGCGCCAGCCCCTCTCTATGATGAGACCCCTCTCTATTTAGGGACCCACCGTCTGGGCACTGAGCCCCCCGTCAGCCCCGCGCTGGGGTTTGCTTTAGCACCCAGCAACGGGAGAGCGGCGCGGAGAGGGAGCGCGGGGACGGAAGGCAGGGCTCACCTTAATGGTTCACTAGCCAGGGGATTTTCAAGTGTTGTTCCTGTAGATTCACCTATTAAATCGGCAGCCCCAGCTGCCAAACTGCCGGCGCACTTGTACCGAGGGCTCTTATCTCCCTGCTGATTGGAGGCGAAATCAAGCTTTGTCAAATAGGCGTAAAATTAAATTTCATGCTATTTTGACTCCTGGAGTAGGATCTTCTGAAGAACATACTGCTTATCGGGCTGCGCCTGTGCAAACAGGCGCCGCGGCGGCAGCGGGGCCGGCCGCACAGCAGCGCCCAAACCCGCCCGGGGTCCTGCGGCCCCGTCCCCCTGAGCCACCCCCCTGCCGGACATGGTGGCATCGCTCCTGCGGACGGGGGCTGGGACACCCTGTGCCCCTGGGTGGCCGTGGCTGCGTCGCAGGGGCAGTGCGAGGCCACGAGGATCCAGCACGTGGAGCAGCAGCAGCAAGGGCTGCCTGGACCCCAAAGCAGTGGCTGCACCCCTGTTTCTGCGCTAGTGCTGGTTGTTCGGGAGAGCAGAGCAGCCGTGGGACAGTGCAGGGACAGAGGATGCCTGGGGTTCCGTCCCAAGGGCCGTTGTCCATGTGGGACATCCCAGGAGGGTGGCAACTCAGAGCGTGTTGGGCTTGCGGACGGTCCTGCCTTGCTCTGGAGCCGTCCTGCCCTGCTCTGGCTCCGGCTGCAGCTCCTGCTGCCGTCCCACCCAGCTGTCGCCAAACTGTCCTCGCCACCGGGGCCAAACCGTCCCCACCACCTGGCTCAGCCACCCTGACCGCTGGGACCAAACTGTCCCGGACACTCTTGGCTGAGTTACTCCAACCACTGGGCTGGATTGTCCTGTCCGCCCGGGGCTGGGCCTCCCGGGGGCCGAAGTGCCACAGACCGGCGCGGTGCAGCCCCGCACGGCCCCGGCACAGCAGTG